CATACCGTATTCTTGTTTGAGTGCAGTCACACCATGCCCATCTCGTGTGACACACACAACCCTGTTTCCAGGGTACGTGTAATCCCGTTACAATTGTGCTCCTTTGCAATAGCAAGTGCCACCACAAAATTCAATGAAAATGCTTCAGATTGAATCACAGTGTGACCATGGGTGTGCTACATTGGTAGCCGCCCGCAGGTCCACATATGTTTGCGACTTGCTTTGAGCGTCATGATATCACGTATCAACAATTTCGTGTCTAGCTGGATAAGCAGCGAAAAATTGGAGGGCTGTAACTTGGGTAAAAATGATCTTACAGAAATGGCAAAGAATGAATGGCTTAATTTGGGAATCGGGCGAGAAGGGATGTCGTCTTTTCATTTTGAAGCCAGTTATATCAAACAGACGCCCAATCAGAATTTTGTTTGATGCTTAACTTCGCAAGTAACAAAGCGCGACGTTGACATAGAGAACCAATCAATTGTGTAACCTTGTACTCTCAGCAGCTATTAAGATGAGTGTAATCTTTGCAGTCATCTCTTACTACTAATAAACCACCATACGTTCCACACGGAGCGGGGCTCCACTTTTTTCATACGACAAAGCCTGTGAGGTAATGCTCATGTAACAAGCTTGCACAGCCTGTAAGGCCATGCTCATGTAACAAGCTTGCACAGCCTGTGAGGCGGTGCTCACGTAACAAGCTTTGGTGAGCTTTCACAGTTGGGGTGGCGCGTTGACTCTATTTGAGGATCTCGAGGGTCATCGTATAGAAAATCTCGTGATGCATCAAAATTGTACCGATTTGCTTGAGGCATCTGAATCAACTCAAAACTAGACCATTGCTCAAAAGAATAAGGCGAATTAGCTACGAGGGATTGTTTGGATGAGAATTTGTCGTCAACAGAACGCTTTTGTATCTGAGTGACTCGTGTGAACGGGGTCTTGGTACGTTTTGAGAGCGCCCACGAAAAGTACTCACTCAAATTACTCCTTCGTGGCTGATGAACAAGTAGTGTTTAATTAAAGAGGGTGCGACTCAGTCTGAATGCTGCATATTCAGGAAGGTAAATATTTTTTATGTATGCTTCATTATCCGCAGCAAATACATGCGGGTTTCACATTCTTCTGGTGCCGACATCGGCAATTCGATCTGTTTTGACACGCCTGTCCTCACCAAGACTGGAAACCCTTCGTGGCAATGTCAATGATCCAACAAAATTAAAAAAAATAGATTAGGCCATATACGTACCACATGGAGAGTAAAAATAATGAGAAGGATCGTATCGCGATTACTTGGCAGAAGCGCATCAAAGGATGTCGTTAGACACGCATATTGTGGTCGTCGGTGTGCAGATAATCCGCTGTGGACATGTCCAACCTGGCTACATCCACTTTGATCAAACTCGCCAAATTGATCGCTGTAAAACGGGGACCTCGATCCGAGAGAAATACTACGGGCAAGTAATTTTGATGTTAATCTCTGCTGAGAACATGCTCGCATAATCGTTACCGGTAATGGTGCCGTTTAGATAGTGCCTTTTGTTCAGACGACCAAAATATTTGTAGATCAGTATTACCAGACGAATGATTTTACATCACTCTGCTGATACCGGCATACTAGTTGGGGGTGTCGACACATGCAGTGAGGGTTTTGGTCATTAGCAAGTGTCACACATGAGCAAACAAGTTCGATTCATTTCTATATGTAGGACACAACTCACTCCGCGCGTGACATACCATGCCAATTTCATAATGTTCTCCCAAATTCAGAACTTACATTCATGCCTGACTCTCCTCTCCACGTTGTGGTATTTCTTTGACAAAGTCCGACTATCTTTTATGATATCTAATCCTTCCTCGCAAACAGTGTCTCAATGACAGATCCTACCATGACAGACAATAGGATAAGCTCCTATATTAATATCATTTGTAGTTACCGGTTATCATTCGGTCGCGAAATTTCTTTTATGCATTTCAAAAAGTACTTTTGTAAGGAATGGGACAGAAGACCCCTCATACTACCCTATTCACTTTGTCCACGAATGTATTGTTGTTTGCCACAAATCCATGAGATTTTAATGTTTTGCATGACCGGCACCATGCTGAGTGTTGTTGACCCGCTGTACCACTACAGCGTTATATGGATAGATCACATTTCGTTACAGTTGTCTGTCTCCCCACGGAGTTTCCAGAGCAACCGCGAATGTGGTTGCCAGGTTATATCTATGTTTCAGACAAATATATGCATTCGCGTGGACCTGTTTCGACAGATGAACATAGCGACAATCGTTCAGTTGCATCTCGACAGGGTTCTTGGAAATAGCTTTTCACAGCCTTCAAATGCCTTCCAGAATAATCACAAGACTAGTAGGAAAAGGGTTAGTATTTTCTCGAGTTAGTTCATGTCCTTCACCAAGGCATCACACCTTTGTGTCCGTTTAGAAAAATTTCTGCTTTCTAACAGCGGTGAGTTGATAACCTACCAATGGCTTAAATTTTTAGTCAATTCATAATTTGTGCCTTTTAGTTTAGATGAGACCTCATCTGGAATTAATGTTAAAGACAAAAACTGTCTAACGCTCAGAAGAAGCATTGATATGTCCTTGTCATTAGACGCACAAAAGTGGTGGTATCTTCTATTATTCGACACACATTCCATCGCACGTAATTGCTAAAGACTGTTACGTTCTTCATATCATTTCTTGTCGACACAAAGCCTAAAACGTTGGTTATGATATCGAGCAATTTCTTGCTGTGATCCCTAACAATTCTAAACAGGGCAACTTATCTTTGCGCGGGCGAACATTGAAACGACCCCCACAAGGCAGAACAAATTCAATTCCTAAGAAGTTGGCCACCCTTGTTCTCCAGAACGATGTTGTTGGCTGTATAAAGTACAGCGCACTCGACTTGGTCGATGGGTATGACCAATTGCTCATGATAGCGAGTGATATTCCGCTGACGGCGGTGAGTTTTCCTAGCGGGATGCTCCGGGAGTGGCTGGTGATATTCTTAAGGGCTGTTTAATGCACCAGCAACATTGAATTGTCTTGTGACGCAATAGTTCAGGCCCTACCTGACGTATGAACAGACATACTTTGACGACATTTTCGTCCACAGTGCACGATAGAACAGATGAGAAAAACCACATTGTTCGTGTGAGAGCGGTGCTAGTGTGCATGCGCACGAATAAGCTGTATGCTAATGCCAATAAGTGCATCGTCGGCGCGAAAGAAATACTTTTTCAGGGTGCTTCATTGGGAAGCGCGGAGTTCGAGCGGATCCCGCTAAGGTTAAGACCATTGTGAACGGGCCGATCCCAAAGAACCAGAAGAATTTGCGCAAGTGGCTTGGCCTTGCCAACTACTTGCACAAGCATATCTCA